GAGACTATTGAAGCTGTTGACCCCTTGAACGAGAACGTCGAGAAAAAATGGGTGGAGAAAACAAAAATATTCCAAAATTTGTCCATCACTTTTAAACAGACGTATTAATAGAAGAGTGTGAGAACACTGGCTATAATTTCGACAAAATGCCTCATTCAGAAACGTAAGCCTTGGTGTACAGCCACTGCTTCTCCATACTGAGAAGTGATAGCTGATATGGTTTGGCGAATGTTTCCAGAATGGAAAACGCGACGCCTACCACATGCTCAACCAACTGGCCGACGACCCAGGGGAAAGCTAGGAATGCTTTGGGGCCAATGCATCGACAAATTTTCCTGCAAATTTGAACTTCCTTTGGCCAAAGAAAAGGTCGGGAAAACTGAAGGCTGCTTGACTGACTAACTAAGTGAATGTCCAATGGACCCCTTGAACAAACCCCTGGTTTATGGTACTGGAGACAGTTTTACACCTATTCACTGCCCGTGCTTATATATTGCAGAATTGTGGAATGCTCAAGGGTCCCATACGCATCCACAATCAAGGGAAACGATGTAAATTCGCTGTGATAATTAGGTTAAATGTAACAGTAAAAGTCTCTTAGCCTGTTCGGTCACGTTGTCGCTATGTCCAAACCCGATGCATCAAAGAATTATCACTTCACGAAGGACCTATATTATAACGCACTTCGTTTGCATAACTAACGTTTAAAATAAACTTGGTCTGCTTTCAGAGTTACAGTAACGTTCAACGCTTACTGTAACTCTAAAACGGACCGATTCAGTCAATGGGGTGAAAAAATGCGTTAGTTAAAATCAACGTTCTGATCATCCGTTTCTGGTAAATAAAATACACTTAATATAAAATACAATGTAAAAGAACAGCTCACCCAAGACAAACGTGTGTGCGATCTCAGAACATTCGAACGATCTAAGACCTCTGTCGCCACAGTGGGGACACTTTTTGCCATCCGGTTCAGTGGAAAGGCTAGGTTCAGCTTTGGACCCTGTTTCGTTGTGACCAGCGTCATGGAGAAATGCGGAACCGCAGCTCTGGCAGACGTCGATGCAGTCCTGACCGCCGGTGCAAATCAGGTGGTATTCGTGACTGAGGTCACCGCCCATCATGCCAACCTCAGCGTCCACGACGTGTACCGGGACGGGCATACGTTTGAAGATACGGCTGTAAGCGTCGCTGACCGCTCGGTAGCTCTCCAGGCACGCTTCGGCAGAGTGGTCGAAGCTGTACATGTCCTTCATGAAAAACTCCCTGGAGCGCAGCATGCCGAACCGAGGGTTCGCCTCGTCGCGGAACTTCCAGCCAAACTGGTACAATAGCAGAGGCAGTTGCCTAAGGGCCAATGGACCGTTCTGCGCCACCAGCTGCGTCACAAGCTCTTCATGCGTGGGACACAGGCATAGCTCAGCGTCCTTCCGGTCTGTTGAAAACGGAAAGCACTGAAGAAATACGAAATAAGAGCATAAGTAAATTATAACACTGATTTTAAATGTTTTCTTATTAACCCAAATTTATGGCTTTGGGCGTGGGGAAGGGAGTGAGAATCTCTTCTATGACTTCATACTTACCGGTGAAGCTTCAGATGGGAATCAGTGACGGCTGAAGACAAGACAGGCAGAAATACGGTTAAGTAATGAGAGTGCTGAATAAAGTGATTGAAAGTTTTCGTACGCTGGTTCATCAGGCTCTCACTAGCTCTAAACACAACCTCTACGAGTTCGCCGCAGAGAGGGGAACACAACTAAGTAAAGGACATAATGCAAAGTGAACGCTCGTTAGAGGTTACTGTCGCTGCGAAGGCTTATTGCGAATTTTTATACAGTATGTTAACGAGACCTGGCAATCAGGGATCAGGGAGCGCCTCCTTTTTTAGAGCGATGTGCACAGGACAACCACATTCTCATCACAAACCCGGACGGAAAGATTGGACATTATCATAAGTATTAGTATTGTAAAGGAAAGTACTGTAACAGACTGTAATCAGAGTCAATTGTTCGGTTCAGAGACTTGTTCCTGAGCGCTTTAAAAATTACTAGCTATACAGGCAGGAAGGCGCGACTTGATTGAGAACGAGTTTATTATTTACCATAACCTAGTATTGCTGTTATGGCTGTCACAATCACTGACTTAGTTAACTTTAATGAAGCCCTAGATCGCTGCGTTGCACCCCCGTCAATAACGCTCAATGTCCGCCATGAAATTCAGTCAGTTCTTTTTTTATCACCTGTATCATTGCAGATCAGAGAAAACTTCAGCGTTAACTTTCACAGTGCACTATAAGGTCTTGATTTGTCTGTCTGTCTCCTTTCCTTGCCATGCAAGCATAGAGGTAATGTTCAATGTAACGTAGATGACTTAGTATTGTCGATGTCTCAACATATACCCCAGCAAATGCAGTGCCGATCTTCCAAGACAATAGAGAACTGGATGATGTTGCAACGGCACGGATTTAGCGATCGTTGATAAACTGTATCCGAGAGATGATTCGCAAACAACAGCTTTCGAAGGATTTCAGTTTCTTCGCATCTTCGACCCTTATTGCCCATCTCATGCACTAAAAAAGAAACTGCAGAACGACATCTTTCGCTACTTAGACCACCCTTCGTTTCCACAGCGAATTAGGGAGCTGGAGGAAAGCCATTCCCTTGCTGCCACTAAGCCGCAACATTTAATTCACTTGGCTATAGCTTTCCAGTCAACTTTTATCGCTGCATCTTCCAACCTCAGTGCTTCGACGTCTAGCTGTCAATGTCTGTCTATAAGATATTCCTATTGACTTGTTCGTTGCCTGCTTTCTTCTCACCTGTGCGATGTAATGACACCCGCTTCACGGTCAGCAAGGAGACCTGAAATGAATTAGGAGAAAGCATTAGCAACCTTTACAGTTTTTCTGAACATCTTTTGTAACTGTCTGCAGCTCGCAAAGACCACCGTAGCGGCTAACATACTGCATGTACGGTACTGTCTATTGCCGTCATACCAGTATTAACTTCTCGTTTTCTACTAGTCCTAAGACCACAGCAACGATCAAAAAATATACACTGAAAATCTGCCATTCTGAAAGGCTACTACGAAGCACGCTATACTCTGGACGATGCTAAGTTGGCCAATGTGAGATACGAATTTCCTGCTTCTCGTAAATTTCATAAAATGGGAGTACCTCTCAATTTGAACAGCTCCTCGCCGAACAGGGTCCATCGGGAAGTCTTGTCCCACAAGAAGCGATCGCAAAGAAGGGGCATTGACAGGCGATTGCCACCAATCGCCTTCATTTCTGCGTCGACGATGACGACTAACTTCTCAAACGATCGATGCAGTACCGGAAGAATGTGGAACAAGCCACGACCAGCCGCGTATTTGATCAGCCCCTTGTCCAACAGCAGCTTCTGACTCTTGCAAACCAGATCAATGCTGCTGCCGGACTTCCATGGCCTTGAGATGGCTGGTCGAAAGATCTTCGAAACAAACAACACCTTATCATTCAAAGGCATCCTTTTCGTTGTCTACGATAAATCGAATGCCAAATCGCAATAGCACGTAAAATGAGCAAGTCAAATTTAAAAGCCACACTAAGTAAAAGCTCAGGTAAAAACAGAACCACGTCAATCACCTAATTAAAAGTTTAATAAAAATTATCAAACAAACAAAAACTGTTTCACTCTGGCGATATACACATCTGTGAAGTATTTCGAAAGTGCAAACGTAAGGCAATTCAAAGCAAACGATGCTTGTATACAGAATATATTCGTCCATGTCTAGGAGAGCGATCGTATGTCGATTCGACAAATTGGACACGAAAGGCTGATCTAAAATAAAAAATTACATGATCAAAAATTTCAGGTTCATATTAGAAAAAGTCTATACTAAATATACGATGATTCTGAGTTAATTAATTATCATAATAATACAATCAACACCAAACAATCAATAGAAAACAAAAATTCACACGAAGAAAATCTAATATAATAGCCATTACTGTAACGGTTATGATCATGAGCCCATAGCAACAATTCGTCAGCGACGACAAACACAGTGATTTAAATTCAAGTTCCACATAACCTTCAATTTCTGCAGATTTTGCAGAGTCGGCTGTCCAAGTTTCGGCCCTCTTTAGTTCTTCGATTCGAAATTAACAAAAAAAATAAACACGGTATGGAATATTTTTGGAAGACCGGAAATGTTCCTGGCTGAGAAAATGCTTCTGTGCTTGAAACGGAACGTTTTCAATCAGTGTATGCACAGAGTGCTCACCTATGGTTGTAAAACATGGGCTTTATGCTTGAGAGCATTCATAAACTGCAGACTACGCAACGCTGCATAGAAAGGTGAATTCTGAGAAAAATAAGAAAAAACAGGAAGACAAATGAACGAAAAGGGAACAAAAGATACTCAGCGATATCCTTGCGAAAGTGAGAAATTGAAATGTTGCAAGAAGAACCAATTATCAATTGACCCGTGAGACACTGCAATTGGTTCCAAGCGACAGGAAACGGCCAATGGGAAGATCTGCACCCTGATCTGTGACAAGACGAGTTTAAGAAATTTGTTGCAGCAACGTGGAAACGAATCATGGAATCACGGAGGCGTTCATCCATAAGTACATCGGTAAAGGCTAATGATGACATCCTTTGACTGTTAGACACGGCATCAATAACATTATGTCCTACGATGCTTTAAACTAGATAAGATTCAAAATGACATTGTGTAACAAGGAACCAAAAATAAAGAATATTTCACAATTAACTAATTTCAGAGTAAATAGATCATATAATGAAAAACTAAATTAAGCAATTTAAGACATTTAATTATTTAATTTAAGCATGAAGCGATTAGGCCATTATCTATTTCAATCATCAAGACTAAATCTGGCACTACTGATCATTCACACAATCATAATCATGCCCTTCAGTGATCATTTATCCTGCTTTCCGATGATTTTGTCATTTTCAAGCTCTCTGTTCAAACTTAGCTGCTATAAACTAAAACATTTTCATTTCGTCTGTTGAAGGTTAAAAGATGAGTTCAAATTTACTGTCGTTGCCTGGAAAAGACTCACATGCAACACGTACAATCCCGCAGATTTACCAGTATTTCTTACAAAAGGATTAAAACTGTTTACTACATTTGAAAGAATAAATTAAATCGACAAAACTTCACAGAACAAACCATATTTACCACATCAACTATCGATCAAGCGTCAAGATCAAGAAAAAATTATCAAAATGTAAAACCCACAGGGGAAGTTGCAAAACCAATGTACAGCAAGGAGAAGTAAAATAAAGGAAAAATGTGAATCAAAAGTAAACATAGACGAACAGGGGGAAAGGAAAATTAAATTAGAATTAAAACAACATGGAGAACAACAGAAACAGAAAAGAAGGAAAAGAAAAAAGGTAGACAAAGAATAACAAAACGAAATATGACTAGGAGAAGATACAAAAGATGACAGAACTTAAGAAATAGGAAGAACCGGAAAAAAGAACCAGAAGAAGAGCAAGAAACGAAAAAAGAAGAAACAAAAAAAGGAAACGTGAAAGGACAAGAGGAAAAATATAAACGAAAAAGAAACAGGATGACAGTGAGGAAGAAGATACAAAAGAGTCATAAAACAAGAAGGATAGTGAAAAGAGAAAGAGTGGGAAGAAAAAAGTGAGAAAAATATGGAAATTACGGACAGACAGAAATCGAAAACCAAATGGAAAGACAACAAAAAATTAAGTAGAAGATGAGGCAGTTAGAAAAAAACATTTAGGAAGAATAGAAAGATTAGAAGAACGAATAAGAAAATAATAGGAAAAAGAAAAGGAGAATAAGAAAAGGAAAAAACACACAAGGATGAAAAAGATGGATAGACAGAAGAAAAACGGGAAAAGGCACATGCTAAGGGAGAAGCAAAAGAAGAGAGGGAGAGGAAAAAAAGAGAGATAAGGAACAGAGATGAAGAAGATAAAGAGTAAGAAAAGGAGAGTAAAAAAATAAATGATAAAAAACGAACAGGAAGAAGGAAAAGTGAAGAAAGAAGACGAAGAAAAAAGAAAAAGGGAACTTGACAGAGGGAAGTGAAAAAAGCAAGTAAGATTCTCTTGCATATTCGAGTGATTTACAATGCAAAAATAACAATCTTAGAAAAAACTACCACCTGCTGTAAAAAACGATTTCAGTCTGTTTCCAGAGTCTTATCTAAAACAGATTATCGTCAAATCCATAGTAAATAAACAAATTTCTTGCAGGATATGAACCTGTTACGATGTACTGCCTGAGGTAGTCTAAAGAACTACAATTTTGTTATTCGTATTACGGTTAATCAGTGTTGTAATGAGCCTCGTTTTTTCATTTTGTATCCCCGAATTATGACCAATAGGTATCACAGCAAATTTTATCCGTTATATCGCACTGCACTGTTGCATTACATCGAATGTGTTTTAAACTGTAACAATAAACCACCCTTTGATAAAATAAATTTTTAATAACAGCAATTAATAAGTATCAATTCTTACGAAATTGACGAACGGTGCGGAAACTGGACATCAGTAAAAAACCACCTTCCCCTAACAACGCAAAAAGTTCTTTAAAGTTATTCTTTGCGGCGGTAAAGTAAGTGATAACCAATCAAACCAATCAGACATCAGCAGCATATTTTAGAAACGTGATCTCGAGTGATAAATTTACTTTGAACCACTGGTCGATGCAGGTCATGTGATAACGGTGAAAACATGGCAACGTTCGCTGTACGTCGCCGTCAGAGTACTGGCACATGCAGATACTACAGAAGTGTTCAAGCAAACGACGGTCACTGTCGCCTCCGATGCTGGTGGCCTGCGGAAGGGCGTAGACACAAGTGGGCAGGTTGTCGATCAACGGTTGTTGAACCGTTTCAGACACTTGAACTTGCCTATGGAGTTCAGCAGTGAAGGTCGCCAGATCTTCGGCCATCCGCAGATTGGTTGATCCAACCTGCTG